AATTTTTCGAAAATAGGCGGAAATGGGATATTTCATCTAATATACGTCTTCGCTAAGTTTCTGAAACTGTTCAGAAAAACAAATATTGCCACGAAGCTCAGCATGGTCGATTACCCATAGCGCATACGTCTTTAAGGCTACCGATAGTCAGCGGGTGTCAGTGCAAATTTTACCAGAGGTATTCAAGGGCATTCCGCAGAGCTAATTTTTCGGAAATTTTTTTCAGACCTTTCCTGGTCGAGTTATGGGGAAAATACTGAAAAACGTCTCAAAAACCAAGTTTTTCAATTTTGGAAACCCTATAACTCGGTAAGGAAAAGTCTGAAATAACCTTCCAAAAATATAGCTCTGCAATAGTATCTTGAGTACCTCTGGTAAAATTTTGAACACGATCGGATGAAATTTAAGGGGGTTCATAATGTGGCACAATGAAAAACCGAGTTTTCTGAAAAACTAGTGAACAACCATACTTGAAAACTTGAAACAAGAACGAAAAAGTGCTCCATTAAGTTTCCGATCAGTTCTGAAAATGCGAAGCCCTAGCGAATTGTAGTTTTTATTTCACAGCATTTCCACGGAAAGCCCAAAAAGAGGGGAGGGGTACCCTTAAGTAGATGTCTCAGAGCTGACAAGAACGTAACAGCAATGATTTTTTTCCTTTTGGATTTCGTACTCTGTCACGTCCGCAACGACGACTTAAATGAATTCCGGTGCCAAATATACAAATGATTTAGAAAAGCCCTTGCTGCCACTTTTGTAGCCCGAAGTCTCCTCTACAACATGCAATTTGAAAAATCTGCGACATACTTTATTAATTTCAGAATTTCGAGACATAGTCATATGCACTAAACAAAGCTTGTGTTTTTCAGTCACGTCCGCAACGATGTAGTTTATTGCGAAAAACGTAATCTTTTCAAGGAGGCGAGTGCTTACTGTAAACTGATTTCGTATTGCACCAACTTTGCGAACTAACATAAAATAACAAAAACATAGAAAGGATAAAAAATTCTGACTAAATCATACAATAACACAGAAATATAAACACGAAATACAGAATCGGTTGAAAAATTCCGTGGGAAAAAGTGAGCAGTAATTATATATGTACAACCAGAAAAGGAGGCGGCGAAATAGAAAAAAAGGAAAACACAAGATCTAAACGTTTGCTACACGTTTTTTGCGTTGATGGATTCCAAGAGTCTTTTGAGAATCTGTGGATATCCATTGTTTCGCATCCAACGTGAACACGGATAAAGATCTTCATTCGTATATTTGGACCAGCATGTTTAGGACTTATTATTGAACCAACTTTCAAAGCTGCACGCTCACAATTAGCTGCAGCCGCAAGTGCTTCAAACGTGTCAACTATGATTTTTACTGTTGATCGTTCCATCCAAATTAAAACGATGAAAAGATCAACAATAGAATCTGCCGCACTAGAAGCAAATGCAGCAATATATTGAGCAGCTAATTGTAAATTTGCAGCCATAAAACGTTTGACGTTATGTTTAGATATATTTGCACGTAGATTAGATATTTATACAACAGCCTTCGCATTTTTAGGAACTTTTTTATCTTCACTCCACATCCTCCTTATAACATTGATTTTTTCTTTTCTTTTTTCATCGTTTTTGTACTTTTTTTGGCTGTGTACCTCTGCAGAAATTTGTTAACATCGAATGAATCTTTTTGGACAAGCATATTGATATTCGTCTGATGGCCTAAAAGAGACATAACCAGATCTAGAAACCTAGAGTGGATTACTGAATAAATACTTACATGTTGATGCGCCATCCCTTGCTTCTTCATTTAAGATAACTTCTTCTACAGCTTTGGAACATGATGGCGGCGGACGAAATAGAGGCACTGTCGCTACCACTGACGGTGAAAAATGTGTTTGCGAACATATCGTACTCAGACTTCGGACAACGTCCAACGACATATCAGTCAACGGTAAAGATGGCGCCAACAATATATCTTGCTTTTGTGTTTGTGAGCCCGACAGAATATTAGATTCGAAAAACAAACGACCTAGCTTACTTAATATAGGTCCATCGTTTCTGTCTATTCTAAAAGTAGCTTAAAACAATAACTCTATAAAAGTTAGATTTGTGATGTTTATATTTTGAACTAGAAAGCAAAATAAAAAGGCAGCTATTTTTTTGCTAAGTAGTTTTTATTAAATGCTAAGTTAATTTTTGTTAATTCCTACTTTAGTAAGCTATATTTTTGTGTGCCTAGGGACGGTTGTGGGGAGAGGTACGTGGAGAGCATGAGAGTGAGCCACTAAACCACATTTCTGCAAAACATATAATTATTTTTAATAAATTACTTAGAAAAATAATATTTTACTTAGCATTTAATAAAAACTACTTAGCACTTAAATGGGAGCCAAATAAAAATTACTGTTTAAAGCATATCACAGGAAGCTATCTGAGAGAAAATCAAAGACTATTAGTGTAGCCTCTAACTTTGTCACAACTTTTGATCATACTCCACTATCGGACTGCTTATGATCTGCGCTTGCGGATGGAAAAAATTAACTTGCAAAACAGGTCACTTTCTATATTCTATTATTACAGAGTCTATGGAAACAGTTTTTTCAGTCCATGGATTCTAAAAAAAGTAGTCAGCAAAAACTTATTCAAGGATA